CGTCGAACTTCATGAGGAAGTCCATCGGAATATCAATATTTATCCTGAACCGCACCCCCAGTCATACCGTCGTCAGGAAGTTCAGCTTCTATGGATTTATTTGTTACTTATTTTGGTATTGCCTGTATATTTACTGTACTTACAAAGCTTTCGTGGAGGATCAAACTATTCTACGAATCTTATACAATACGAAAGTGCAACGGTACGGTGATGACTACGAGAGACTGTCTTCAATGCTGTTCGTCATATTCGGTTTGTGGAAGATTCCATTTGGATTGAACATCAACAACCGCTTTATGGAGATTGTAGTGGAGGTCGACAAGAGCCTGGAAGAGTTGGGCGAAAACGTAAACTACAAGAAAGATGCACATCTTGCACTTATGATGTCGATACTACAGTGTACTGTGTACTTGTTTCGGTTAGCCAGTATTTGGGGAGCATTGAGTTATTTGGACGAGCCAATACCAATGGAGAGATTGTACCAAGTTATATACTCGGACAGCCTGGCCGCCATTGTAGCAGCGCACTACTTCTTTTTCCTCAGAGTAATTAGAGGCAGGTTTAGTTACATCAACAAGGTGCTTCAAGATATAAAAAGCCACAAGTCTTGGGAAAATAAGTTGTTTGCTCGAGGGAATATGATGGTTAATGCTCAAAAGGTAGAGGGCCTCCAAGAGAAGTATATTTGTGAGAAAATAAGGGCTTGTGCGAAGATATATGGCAAGCTATATAAAGTGACTGAGGCTACCAACCGATTGTTCGGTTCCATGTGCATGATTACTCTGTTTGTGAGCCTCGCCTACATTGTAATTTACATGTTTTACTTCATGGAAGCGACAGCGGCTGGCTTGTTTCGGGATGTAGACAGATACGTAGTGTTTGTCATTTACGTAGCTTGGCAAATTTTCTATCCGGTTGGTGTAATCGTACTGATTGTCTTTGTATCCGAGCTCGCAGTGCTCGAGGTAAAGTCTAAATTTAAAATGTTTAGATGACATAAATGTTGTACACGGTACCTGATTAAATAAATAAGTTACTAATATATTTACAGGCAAGTAACACTTCGTTTTTACTGCATGACATTATAAACTGCAATTTCGGGCAAGCGGTAACGACAGAGGTAACTTCAAGTCTCAAACATATTATATGTTTAGTTTATAATCTGTGTGATGGATACATTTACAGTGTGCACTTCCTTTTGTTTAAGGCGTTGCAGTTCTCGATCCAGTGTCTTCATCAGAAGCCAGTGTTTACTGCTAACGGACTCTATGAACTCGATTATGCATTGCTACATCAGGTTTGTAAATTGTGTACTTTGATTGTTTCTTCCTTTCCTTCCTCTGTTAGTGAACGGAAGCATTATTTTGTTATCTTTTCAAAACAGTGTACCCAATATTAGATTATGGAGCAGATCTACGCGAGACATAATGTGTTTTCGATTGTGAAATTCCATCTTGAAGCGTGGGAGGGCCATGCTTCGGTACGAATGGGCCGGCTCGACCGGAGTGATACCACGGCCTCACAGAAAACCGACGTGAAACAACGCTTGCGTTGTGTTTCGTCGTGTGAGTGAGGTTACCGGAGGCCCAATTACCCTCCCCTTCTCCAACCTCCCCAATCCCTGAATCCCCAACGATCCTCAAACTCCTAATCCCCAAAATGCCGGTAACGCTCTTGTAACACCTCTGGTGTTCCAGGTGTCTATAGGCGACGCCGATATTGCTTACCATCAGGTGATCCGTCTGCTCGTTTACCGGCTTACGCCATAAAAAAAATTGGTTTCCATATACTGACATTCAAGCGGTTAATAAAACGTTTTGTTTTCAGTTTTCGCGTTCGGTCTCCACCTACCTAGTGATACTTCTGCAGTTCGTCACAGATGCAAAGTAGGTGTCTAACAGTTACGTACTTAATAATGATTACCTAAGCATGATGATAAATCATTATTTACATTATTATCTATATACATAAAAACAACATCACAAGGAAGTCCCGATGGCATGTTTTTTACTAAAATCCTGCAATATTTTACATTATTAGATAGTACCTCTATTTATCATTTTTTTTTTGTAAACTAAGTAGGTAGGTACCTACTTCTATTTTTAAAAGATATGAAATCTTCCTTTTCCTAACTTCTTAATTCTTATATTTCAGGCACAATTATTTCAATCAAGAGAATTGACGACCCTAAGAAGAGACCTAAAAAGTTTAGTCCGATGATTAAAAGGGCAGAGATCTCGTAGCGTAGGCCTACGAAGCCTACGAAATGGAGATGAATTATCATTATAGTGTTCTATGATTCAACGATTAGTAGGAACAATTGCAATTTCAAAAACTTGCAATTTCAGTTATTGTATGGATCAAATATGATATTGTATTATGTGTTTGTGAAAAATGTGTTTCACTTGTATTGATATATCTATCTACTGAATTGAACTACATAGTTCGAATCGCTCGTTTCATGATTTCATTGTTCGATGAAGGTATCATTTGATTCCTGAAACAGGTTTAAACTTAATCGGGAGGTCCGCTGTCAAATAATGGAATTTTCCGAATCACTGTCAATATACTTTTATTGATATCTTAATTATATCTTATACTAATATATTATACTAAATAAGCAGCACTGTATTGTATCTTTATTGTAATTGGAAACTCCGCTACTGTTGATTTAATGTTCATTTTTGTAAATGTTTATTTCAACAAATTATTTTTATTCTTATCTTACTTCTTCCTAGTATGTATTATAAATGCGAAAGTTTGTGAATTTGAGTGTAAGTATATTACTCAAGTACGTCAAAACAGCTGAAGGGATCGGATTGAAAATAGGAGGAGGGATAGATTATGATCTGAAATAATACATAGGCTACAGGTTTCTACGGGAACGTGGGCGGAAACTAATCGTTCATAATAGTATGTATTAACGTACATACATACAATGAAGTCAATTAGCTGATAGCCACTTTAAGAACCTAGACCTGTTAGCAGCATTGTTAAAGGTTTTGTAATGAATTATTTGTCATTGAGAACAAAGGAAATATTAAAAATTAAACTTTATTATTATTGTAACAAACTGCTTAACACATAGATATAGAGATTTACGATACTAACCATAAAATGTAAATAAACATACTTCATAACTACAATAATTGTTGTGTTTCATTGAATGGACTATAAAATTTAGTAGCCTTGTTTTATTAACAAACCGATAATTATCTCGGGGACCGAGACAAAGGCATCAAGTAGTGTTCAACCAGGTTCTATTCCTTGTTGCCTTCCTATGGCATTTATTAATACTCTGTGGCATTTAAATTTGTTCCTGGAAGTCCCTCGATAGGTATTACTTTAACCAATTACTTGCGACGTAACTATAAATTATTTTTAATTACTTAGCTATGCAATTAATGGCATACTCCGCCTACATGCTACCTATATCTTAGGTCCAATGTATAATAACAGGTGCAATAAAACCATAAATAAATCAATCATGTTACGTACCTAATCGTAACATCAGAGCGAAGTACGACTTTATGGATATTCCCCTATTATTTCTCGTTTATTTACCTAATATTATAGTCACGGAGAGCTGCTAGTACCTAGGTACACTAAGTATTGAATACAAGGGCTTTCCCTTGAATGCAAGTGACGAGTTGTAGTTAAGCGTGGAAGACAACGAAATAAGGCTTATGTCTAGCAGTGGACGTCTTCTCTTCTTTCGTCTTCTTCCTCCCCTTTTTGAAGTCGGTAAAAATAGCACCACCTAAATACGCTTTTTTACTTATTAATTTTACGTTTTATCTACGTCATTTACTGCATTTGTATAGAAGAACTAATACGCAGTCATTAACTCTATGTGAAACAAAATAATAATTATCGCGTAACTGCTATCATTAGAGTGCACCTTACCTAGGTTATGAAGGATATATATAGGTACCTACCTCTGTACGTAATTATCAGGTACACGATAAATATTATTAGGAGGCAATTTCCAATAGTGTCATTAAAATACACTGGTTACTATTTCCTTAGATGTGACGTCACAAGGAAATACGTATTTTATCAATATATAGCCGAGATAAATAACTGAAAAACATATTAAAGGTGACATCTTTGTATTGTTTGAATAACAATTACATAGAATCAAGAGTCAGAGGAAGAAAGACTGCATCGATATGAATCTAAATTTTGGAATTCACATAGTTCTATATGATTTTTCGACATTTGTTTTTTTTATGGTTTACAAGCTTTTAAGCACGAACACTTTGTACAAATATCGTTGTTTTAATTTATTGAAGCATCATGATTCTGTTCAGTCGAACTGCAGCTGGTCTGTGGCGATGTAAACCTGGTGAAACATATCCATTACATATCCAAAGAGGGTATATTATGACTTTTCAAACCTTTTCATGTTATGGAAGATTTCCAATTAATTTCTAGAACCAGAAGTCACTAAAAATAAATATCAATACTATTGAAGCCAATATTGCAATGCATACTACCAATGACTGCGTTGGGTTCCTTTGTTGAAAGAGTTACCAACCGACGACAATTAACGTAACTTGCGGATATAACATTAAGTAACTAAGAATGTAGACTTATAACAACCTAGGTTCTAGTTCTAAGCCAGTAAGGGTACATGCCCGATGCACTTCTAGTCCGTCACATCGTAACGTAATATCATACATTACGCAAAATCTCCAACCTACGCTATACAATTAAATAATACAGAGATGACACTTACTTCCTATATCATAATTGCATTGACGACTTCTGCTTTACAACAATAATTGTATGCATTTATGACATTTAAAAAATTAAGTGTTTTTTTAGATTTCTGTTATAATAGTAATAATAGGCGTTCCTTCCTCACGGTCCGAAGGTTGTTTGTTAACCACGCCATGAACTTGGCGACCCCGTTGTATGCCAGAGTGGAATTAGTGCGAGGCGTATCGTACGTAGACAGAGGAAAATGTTCATATAAATCGCGTGCACATTTTCTTTAGTGCGATACGCGAGGAGGCGCGCGCGCGCAACATGCTCCTGACTTGACTCCTTGTTCTACACGTACATTTGTTGCTAGTGATTAAAATAAAGTGACAAAATGTTTGTGTGGTTGTTACTCCTGGTTTTTGTGCTGTGGATGTTCACTGCGTGGGCTAGAAGGAGACACATGGTGAAGCTGGCTGCAGCCCTTCCAGGACCAAGGGATGAACTGCCTGGAATTGGCCTTGCACATAAGTTCATTGGTGATACTGAAGGTAGGTTTAATATATTAAAATTATGGGATATTAAACAGCATAGTTAGATACTTTTCAATTCAATTTATTTTATGAATGCATTACGTTATTGTAACTCATAAAAAATAAGAATATATGTAGGTACATAATGCCGGTTAAAGGAATTAAAAATAATAGAAATCATGTACTTATAATGGAGAAGGTTACTATGAAATAATTCTAGGAATATTGGTCTATGATCCCGGTATACAACGACCTTCACCGTGATGCTTATTTGATGGGACATGTTGTAAATTCATTCAATATGTCAATAATTATATTGCACATAGTAGGTTGCAATTATAATATGAATAAAGTCGTAATAGTCACAGCGGTAAAATATTCTTCTTCTCCTCTTATAATATCTTCTGATTCACTTACTTGCGGGAATCAAGACAGTTACTCATGTCCCTGAGACGCGCCGGACTTCAGAGTTCGGGTGTTTTTATGGTTGTGTCTACTGTAGATCCTAGCTTACAGGAGTTGCAGCGGTTTCAGGAGGTTGTGGCTGGCTTGACCCATTAAAAAAAGGCATAAAATATTTAAAAAAATTAACTAATTAATCAGATCATGGACTGAAATTTATAAAGCAACCCATGTACAATAATTATAATTATTGACATATTAAATTGAATGTATAAAATACATACATATTAAACATATTTTATTATACATATATACATACATATTAAACATATTTTAAACTTATAAAATATATTTAAACATCTCGGTGAAAGTCGTTGTATATCGGGATCTTAGACCAAAAGTACGAATTTGTATCGTAGAAAAATGTATCATAATAAATGTTAAAATAGAATTGTGATTTCAAGGAGATAAATGTTATAAAAAAATAAATATGTACTTCAAAGAGTATAATAAGTATAGGGGAAGTACTTATTTAAATAATAGGTGGTATAACTTCACACAATCACTTTACGGAGCTTGTTTTAATTATAGGAAACAAAAATAATTAGGTATAACTTACATAAGCAATCATTAAAGTAACAAGGATGTGAAAACCTATTTATTGAAGCTTCAGTTGTCAAGCTCTTTTAATTAATGCCACATTTATTTCCGAATGTAAATGCACACGTTTTAGTCGCTCTTTATAACAGAGGTCGTAACATAATTTTGCAAAATGGACCATTATTTATTTTTTAGATTATGTCTTTTTAGGTGGTCTGTTGGTTTTCATGTTATACCACACATAATACTATAGTTTACTTCTATTATTTACATTAACTGACTGCCTCATTGGCCGAGTGAACGCAAGTGCGACTGTCCAGCAAGGGGTTTCAGGTTCGATTCCTGGGTCGGGCAATCTATTACTGGGTTTTCTAAGAAAAATGTCAGTTGTAGCACGGAGTTTGGAATTGCGCCCGGTATACGGCAATAGGCTCAGATGCACATACATGGGACTCATAACTTAAATAGTGAAAAGTGGGTGTTACATTGTACGGTGTCCTTAAGTGCTGTAATGGACCTGTGTCTACAAAAGGCGTGATGTTATGTTATTTAGTTTAAGTAACCGGGTCTTGACTGCAGAATAAATTAGTTTACCACCTCTACTACTCTGCCCGCGAGTATCGCTGAGCTGCCTGGATTTATGAATTGCATAGTAAATAGGGACCGGGTAACAATCTTTCTGATACATATGCTAGACCCCCTAAACAAATTAAGTATCAATATCACTTTAGAAAAGAAACAAATGCGTGGAGATTTCTGAAGTACCTATATCGATAAGTTACGTGGTAAATGAGATTTCATATTCGTATCGTTTCGAAAGCAATAACGCTTTTCAATTTAAATTTAAATACGGTAGTTGACAGGTAGTCAGTTAAATTCAATACTTTTATTGAAATGTCAAAAACGATACTTTTCTACGAATTTTGTATTGGATCGCAACTTATGACGTCATCGTATTTCTGCGTCAAATAGCATACCTACTTATTTCCTTAAAATTAGTGAGAAAAATCCAAAAGTAGGTAAATTTTCAAATCAATGAATAAGATTATGATTACTTTTTAATTATTTATTGCATTGAAAAGTTCATATACCTCATTTATTTTAAACTTAGGAAACTAACCAATTTTATAACGCCTCTAGCGGAACTTCTTAGTACTACGTGTTTGGTACTACGTCACTGTGTCCCATGTCCAAATACTGTCACTGTCACTACAAATTCTTTATATTATAATGACGGAGATGGCACGATATTTAAGTATCCGGGCGTTAGATACTTACACTCACATACAGGGTGACTTGTAAGTGTAACTCGACGTATTCCTCTCGGGAGGTTATAATACAACTAATTTTCTACAAAATTAACTATTTTCTATTGACCAAATTAGTGACTCAAAACTGATACTAATTTACTTGCTATTTTAAAACGAATCATATTTCTGCTAGTATTCGTATGAATAAATGTTTATTGATGTATTGGCAATAAATTACAACTAAATCACATAAATAAAACCAGTAGTTTTTTATTTATTGATGTTTTTGTAGTTCGATCGGCATTTTTTCACCAAAACTGAAAATGATGAATATCTCAGAAAGTAGCCACATTTGGATCAGAGATCTCAGGGCTAATTGTGTAGGAAATTAGTTGTATTATCACCTCCCGACAGGAATACGTCGAGATACAAGTTACCCTGTATACAAAAACTTTACGTCGTCGATATCGAGTTGTCAACCTTTAAGTATCGCAGAGAAAGTAGCAGTTGATTAAATAACCTTTATAAACGGGCAATATAGTGTAATAAATCTCACAATCATAACTCACTTCAGTTAGATTCCAGGAGTGAAAATCCTATCTTTATTAAACAAATCTACAGATACAGAGGTTATGGAATACAAAAGAACAGTAAATAATAATTAATTTGATAATTTCTTGTTATTACTTTTACAACAAGAGTACGCGTCTATTGTTTTGATTGCGCTGTCAGTGCACGGCGCGACCGGCACTCGCAGGGATGTAGTTTAGATTTAACTTTTAATTCGTTTAATTATTATTAATTGCTTCAAAGCCAAAGTCAAAGTCAAAATCATTTATTTCAATTAGACTAGAAAGGCAGTTTTGAACGTCAACAAAAAATTAAAAGTGAAGGTATTTGGTCATTCATTGATTGTTATTTATTTTAATCTAATATGCAAATCCAAATATGACTTCACCTTCAATTTAATAGGTACAACAAAAGTCACAAGGGCTCCGACTCGAAGCAGGAGTCAGGACGGCGGTTCTTAATAAGCAAGAGTGACATACATACCATCACTTTTTAGTCATCTCACACTCCCTCTCGCCTCATCCAGGGTGGTCATTAGATAATTTTCGCCCCTCAAAAATGAAGTAACACTTGTTACATGATTTCAATACAAATCTCTTTTGAGAAAATAACAACTATCGTTTCATTGCACCAGGGCGAAGTTCTAGTGCTTAATAATTTAAATGTAAGATTCACATCAAGTAGGTGTCAATCAGGCTTTCCTATAACATTGTTATATTACCTTTTTTGTGATCGTTCATCAATTTTTGGATTTGTAAAAATTAGATACTAAAAATTACCAAGTTTCTTCGGTTTTTTTTTCATTTAGGTACATGTTACATCAACTTAGGAGCTTAACATTTTTTTAAACGTAAACGTTTTATACCTTGTTGAGTAGCTAAATAAATGTAGATGAATTATAATGTTTAAGCATGCCTGCAGTATGTCTGTATAGTTCTCGTATTTATTTTGTTGCGAAAAACATATTTTTGTTAACTTATTTTGTTGTTTTCATGGCCAATCCTTTACTATGAGTAATGTCTTTAGCAGGTAGGTATTTGTACGCAAAATTTGAACAAGAAAAAATTATTAAGAAAAACATTCGACACGAGCGGATCTTGCACCAAAGATATTTTATTCAAATCACTTGAGTGCGTTTTCAGTTTGACGAAAATGTTATATTTTAAAAACTAATGAACAGCCTAAATCAACAACCGATCTTAATGTAAAGTCTCTGCACCGATCTCTGTTCTTAGAGATTTTGGGCACATAGGTACAGACGCGGAAACGTTTGTCTCGACGTTAGAATGGTTTGCGATATACTCTACGCTTAGCTTGCCTCGTTCATCGTGTGCGACGTAAAGTATAACCGAGCTTCCTAAAAAAAATTTCAGTAACAGCACGGAGTCTGGAATTCTGCCCGGTATATGGCAATAGGTTAACCCCCTATTACATGGGGCTCATAACATAAATAGTGAAAAGTGGGTGTTACGTTGTACAGTTGCATTAACTGCCGCAATATGCTGCCTAACCCTTCGGGGACAAAAAGGTGTGATGTTATGGTATGTTATGTCTACGCTTAGCAGGCAGGTTGGGGATCGCTGGTTGAATAGTTAGGGTTTAGGGAGGGCTGCTGCCTGGTTTTAATTAATCGTCATTTAGTCTGCTCTTACTATACCTATCCACGTGAATAACAGGGGTGATGATGAACATTTTTAAATATATTCTTATCTGTCGTCACCACACAGCGCAATGATTGGATGATGCAAACATTGGGTTGACTTTTGTTTCGGCGTTTCTTCCCAGAGTAGTCGGTTAGGAAATGCCCCGGCCCTAATCTAGTAATCTAAAGTAAAAAAAAGTGTTACTTAGTAATCTCTTTATAGAAATAAATGTCATTTCTTTTCCTTTAATTCCCAAGTGTTAGAAATTGTTAAATTTTAGTGAAGACACCTCCTAACCTTAGTACGGCAATAAAGCCCTAACCCTCGCTACTGGTTACAGCTATCATGCATCAGCTGCAACTCTTCAGTTATGAGAGTATGGAGAACGATGGAGTCCTGCGAGGCTGGCTGGGAAACACCCTATTCTTTAGTAAGTAACTATTACTACAATTCTACATATTGCGTGCTATTTCTTATTAATTACGTAACTATGCAGTTCGGGGCCCGTGGCAAATTCATCGGATGGGCTTCCGTTTTCAATAAAAAACAGAGAAGTTCAGATAATAACCTTTGTACGGGGTCACTTACAGGCGGGAGACTTCTACCCTGTAGTTGCTACTGTTACTTCGTAAGCCTTTTCATAACCTGCTGGCCTGTGAACTAGGTAGGATTCAGCGCTGAGTTTAGAATTCAACAATGGTCAATTCTCTGTTTCATTTGAAAATGTATGTGTTATAGTAATTAATGTGTTACGTAATGTGTGTGTTACTTAAAATTTCATTTAAATTCATTCCATTTTATGGTTTTAATGACATGTCATTGTAAATTTTATGTAATTTTACTGAATGAATTAATTGTATCTTTACTTATGAATTTATTTAATTTGGTTACCAATGTAACAATATGGATTATGGTTACCTGAAAGAAATGTATTTTATTTTATTAATTTTACATGTAACAAAAAGTTCTAGCATATCGTCATTGCCATTTAAGCTCGATTCCACTCGCTGATCTTTATAGATCTATCTTCTAGCTGCCATAGGTGCCTAAACTTCTTCAGTTTGGATAATCTCTCATCCATCTGTTTTCCACTGTACTGATAAAATTAGAGACGTAGACAATACCTATAAAGCTTTTTGTACAGTCGTAGTTCATCCTGGCGACCTCGAGATGGTGCTGAAGACTTGCCTGGAGAAAGATGATCTTCACAGATTCATCAGGACAGTCATAGGAAATGGAGGAATATTCGCTCCAGGTATTTATAAAAGATATTTCGGTGGTAACGCCGAATTTCTACATGGATTTTATCAAAAACTGCATTAGATTATATGGGATGCACACATAGTAGCACCCTAACTAGGACCTCCTCTTTAGTTTGCGTTGTAAAAGAGGTATAAAGAATTAAACAGTCGCTATTGGTAAACAGTTAGAGACCAAACAAAGATGTATCCATCGGTGTTCCAGAAATTACTTCATAAAACTAGGTACTGTACCTATTAGGAGCTACCTTGACCTTCATCTGACCACAACATAGTTTATTATGTGAAAGTGGTACATAATAGGTAATTTTAAAACGCGACCAAAATATCAATGGTCATGAGTAATATTATCAATGCTAACCAGACCATACGTGTTCACGTCACGTACGAAAAAATTGTCCCACCTAAAGAGTAAATGCGAGCGAATCCGAAATAATTCAGTGGTAGCAACAATAAGGAAAATAATTTTAGCTGACACGCATGCAGTGACACAAGAATATTTCGTAACTGAGCCATACAGGACATAAAAAATACGACGACAAGGTAAATTGGGTTGTACAGACATACGTGTACGTACCTATGTTATTGTGTATAAACTTGTTATGTATCATGATGATCTTGATGGCGTCTGATAATTTCGCACGTATGTCCTATGTTAATATTGCGATTTACTAACGCTTGGTCTACTACATATCAATCTTTTTACACTACACCTCAGAAGGGGGTATCTGTAATGGCCACACATGGACACAGTTTTTTGAAACTAGAATTGGTAGTAGTAGATACGTAACTGCTTTTTTCATTAGCAGCAAGTTATCCATCACGTTTTGGGGATCGTAAACGTGATTTACAAAAGTTTAATAGACCAATTTTGGATCTGAGAGCTAAATTTTTGTCTAGTAATCCGATTGTGGTTCTATATCTAGACTGACAGCTAATTCTGCAAGCTAGGTATTACCGGGCGAAACATGAACTTTAACACCTAAATAGTGTTGGCGCAATGGATCATAATTATGGTTATGTAACACTATGCAGCTAGATTATCAGTCTATTATTGCTCGTGCAAAAGTGACCTTATCCTTCAATTTTTATGATGGGTAATGCAGGGGGAATTTGTAATGTTGTTGCCAGGGTCGGATCTAGCCGAATATTTACAACGTGGTGGGATTTGGTTGTAAAAGAAATTTATAAAAAAGCTAAGAGAGGCTTAATACGTCCAGTAATAAGTCGGCTAAAAATGTGATAAAACCCAACATTAGGATATAACTACTTTTACCTAATCTACAAGATTAAATCTTAAACTTCTGCTAATAAAATTTATTGGCGCTTAATTGCGTTTTACACTGTAAGTCAATTCGATTCTAACTACTCTTGACCTGCTTGGTAGACCAGGTGCTACAAGATTACTCTCTAAAGATCTTACTCCCAACAGTGTCCATCTGGCGTCGTCGTAGAAAGATCCTCGTGCCTGCATTCAGCCCTAAAGTAGTAGAGAACTTCGTCCATGTGTTTGCGGAACAAAGTGATAAGTTAGTGAAGCAGCTGTCACGATGTAGTGGCAAGGGAAAGTTCCAAGCCTGGCCTTTCCTTAGCACCTACACCCTGGATTCAGTATGTGGTAAGTGGCTTTTAAAAAAATTAGAGAGTATGACTTATCTAGTGACATAATAATCACCCTGTGCTTGACTGGTAGCGAATGCCATTCAGCATTAAGTCCGCCACTGTATAATTTTGTCCATAAACTATTTTGAATAATAAAAAAAGAATTACTGAAAGGAGAAACAGCATTGTTTATAGCTTTGTTAAGGAAACGCCCGGCAACAGAGATACAAATACCCATAGTAAGGGCTGGTAACTAAGTTTCAATTAGCCTAAATGATATGTACCTAAATTTAAACATTCGTATGACAAAAACGACAAATTAGCCGTCTGTCAGACATTGTGCAACAGATGTTTAGCCAAAGATTGAATTGGGTCATGTAAATTATTTGTTAAGTTATTTTAGCCCTAAGGTCAAATTGAAGACAAGGTCCTCATTTTAGTTTGGAGCTATTTACTAATTTCGGAAAATTTGGTTAAAGTTTATGCCTATGTGATTATGATTGATGATGGTCCAAATTATCCTAGTTTATCATACAAAGTAGTACGGTCTAGATTCGTTTGTCACTATAATTCATTATACACGCAAACGTATACTGTTTTTTAGGTAATTTCGCTTAGATTCTGACTATTTTTTTGAATTATTTCTGCTATTTTTGTTTTTGGTAAGTAATAGGTTATTCTATAAATAAGTACACGTACCATACTATCTCGTCTCTCTTTAGGTCTAGAGCGCAAAGATTTTGGTACATATATCGTTGACATTTGTTTTTTTTACACAGAAACGGCAATAGGAGTAAAAATTAACGCGCAAGAGAATCCGGATTCACCTTTCCTTAGAGCGATGTGTGATATCCTGAATATGATTTGTAAGAGAATTTTCCACTTGTGGCTGCAACCAGATTGGCTGTTCAAGATATTACCGATGTACAAAAAACACCAAGAGTGCATACACGCCATGCACAATTTCACCGATCGGGTAAATTTTATTGCATTGTGTATTTTCTGTACTTATATACATTAGTCAAAATCATAAAAGAGAGGCGGTGTTTGAAACAAACAGAAGAAACAAAGAAAATACAATTATTATTCACACGCAAATCAAGAAACATGGTACAGAATTGTATTATATTAAATATTCAAATTCAAATGCTTAATAATTCTTTAAATACAGGTTATCGAAAGCAAGAGAGAAGAATTAAAAAGAGAAAAGGAGTCTAAACCAGAGGTGGATCATGAGTTTGGTAAGTTTTTTTTTAAGAATTATCGTTTAAATATACCAAAGAACGCAGACAGACAAAGAGTACATAGTATCCAGGTCGCTTCGAATCAACCGATATAGAAAGAGAGGAGGCAGCACATGTTTTGTAGTAGCTGCGATGATACGAATATACGATGGAAAGCAGTTAATACAACGATACATATACTTACAGATTTAGGGGCATACAAGAAACAAACATTCCTAGACCTACTGATACACTTATCTGGTGGTGAAAGGGGGTATTCCAATGTGGAATTGCGAGAAGAAGTATTAACCCTTACCATCGCTGGTACCGACACCTCTGCTGTTGCCATTGGATTCACTCTCCAGCTACTGGGAAAATATCCAGAGATCCAGGACAAAGTATACCAAGAGTAAGTGATGCCATATTTTTTTATGGAATCGGAGACAAACGAACAAATGGTAAGCGATCAACGCCGCCCATGGACCCCGGCAACATCAGAACTTTTAAAAAGGAATACCTCTTTTCTTTTCTTGAAGGTTTGAAGGCCGTATCGACAAAAACTTATTGGGGTAGAAGGTTTAGAATCCATGTTTGGTTGATTATAGAGAATATTATAGCTATGGGTTGTAAGTTATCTCATATTTATTTTCAATTTGACTCAAAGTCATATATAGATAAGAACTAGGTTTAAGACACTACTAACTATATTGGGATTAACTCGTCGAGCACCGTCATTATAGACACAATTAAAGAACAATAGGTTGCGGTCACCGGTGACCGCTTGGTGTTTGACAGTTTAATAATAAATGCAACATTATTTCGGGTACAGCTTGGGGTACAAGGTACAACAGACTGTACCTGAAATCCCTCTCAAAATGGAACTATTTGCATATTTAATATCACAATAATAAAGTCCTTGAAAGAGTAACAAATTGACATAAAGGACAAGGTTTTTCGAAAGGATTTTGCAAAATATGCTTACGTGTATAACTTACTGTTTAAATTTTATTTCATTGTGATATAGTGAAACCAGATTTGTAATAATTCTGATTTAAAATAAAGTATATTGGACTGGCCTGCCTCGTTGGCCGAGTTGTCGCAAGTGCGACTGCGGCGGCAATGGGTCTCGGGTTCGATGCCCTTGTCGGGCAAAGTACTACTGGGTTTAAAAAAAATCTTACTAATAGCACCGAGTCCAGTATATGGCAATAGGCTCACCCCAATTACATGGGACTCATAACATTAATAGTAAAAAGTGGGTGTTACATTGTACACTGCTATTAAGTGCTGTAATGTGCACCTCTGCCTAACCTTTCGGAGATAAAAGGCGTGATGTTGTTATATTGGCATTCTAGTTTAATGCTTTTACAGGACCAGTTCAAGAACCGATACCAATTCCTGGTTCCGTGTTGATTGATTTTGTTTATTAGTTAACCTGTAATAACTTGATTCATACCTTGTACATGAATAATAAATCTAAAACATCAAGATTTTCCTGTCTCTTGACTAGGTTAGTACTGAACTAGACACGATGCTTACGTAAGTAATTGCTCTATCTGGTACAGCTGAGTTGCCGTTTAGTAACTCGTTGTCATACAATATACCAAGCTTCTTTTTCTGGTTATTTTTTGTAAGTAAGTCTTAGACCAGTAGGTACTCAGTCTTAACTAGATTCGCCTGAATATCAGTATGTTATAGGAGCGACTGCCGGATTAGCCGGTAGACGAGCAGACGGATCACCTGATGGTAAGAAATCGGCGCCGCCCATGGATATCCGAAACATCCGAGGTGTTACAAGTACGTTACCGGCCGTTTGGGGATCATTGGGGATCCGGGGGTTGGGGATTAGGGAGGGGGGTAACTTCACTCACACGACGAAACACAAAGCAAGTGTTGATTCGGTTTTCTGTGAGACCGTGGTATCACTCCGGTTGATCCTGCCCATTCGTGTCGAAGCATGGCTATCCCACAATTAAAGTGGGGTCCTAAATTCGTATTACATATAAGTATTTTTTGGCTTCTGATTGCCTCTGACGAATAAAGTACGGACGGTCTTCAAAATGCCAGAAACGGTCACAAACGTTTAGCTCTCCCTATATTCGATGTTTTAAATAATGCATTGTTTACAGATTATGTGAAGTTTTTGAAGACGACAGAATTTTAGTCAAAGAAGATTTAATGAAGCTGAAGTATCTAGAGAGAGTAGTCAAGGAGTCTTTGCGGCTGTTCCCTCCCGTGCCACTTATTATAAGAAAGGTCTTAGAAGACATTACGTTGCGTAAGTAAAGACTAATATTTATGTCTTCTAATACAATATGTTCTTTTACAGTATTGCTTTAGAGATGATTTTTGTCCATTTCATTCTACTCGGCGAAATTTTAATGTAATAAATCTTGATATACTTCTCAATATACCTACTTAAATAAAGTTTTGTTTACAGCATCTGGTCGCGTCCTACCAGCTGGTTCAGGCGTAGCATGCTCAATATGGGGTGTCCACAGAGACCCCAGATACTGGGGTCCAGACGCCGAGAGATTTGACCCCGACAGATTCTTGCCAGAAAGATTTAATCTAGAACACGCTTGCAGTTACATGCCCTTTAGTAATGGTCCTAGGAATTGCATTGGTAAGTAATCTATATAAGCAAAAACTTTAAAAAAATATTTTAATTTATGTTTACAGGTTACACAGGTTATTACAGATTAAAATCTGTGTGACTCAGGAAAAACAGATGTTTGTGTAATCATGCGTTTGATTTGTGACATAATCATATATTGAACGATAACTTACTATAAAAAACATATTAAATATATTGTACATCTCGGAAACAATTAAATACTTGTTACACGGGGATCTTTTCTACTAGTACATATTTGCTTGACATAAAAAGTTGTAATAAAGAGGAACAGACATTCCCAAACTTGTTTATAATTTACATTTCTAAATTCAATTTTCGCTATATATTATTCGCAGATATTGCTAGCCCATTTTATAGGTATTTCAATGGACACTTCAAAATCACACATTATGCTAACTTTCTTTTTCCTTTTCTATATATGAGTAAGCGTTACGTTAAAGTTAAAAATTACCATAGGTACTATATAGTATTTTTTTTAAATGCTTAGTCTAAATCGTAAATGGTAGTTGTATCTTACGTGATCTCTTTTCTTTTTACAAACTGTTCTTTGCTGTATCCGCGTGTTGCATATCTATGCTCATGTTGAGATTCACTGCCTTTTATCGGAATCTATAGTAAAGATAATTACTTCTTGTAACTGGACTAGCTACTGCATAAGATATGTCTCTATAAATGCACGTGTCGTTTATATACCGCAAAAGGGATTTCCATTAATGTCCGCAGTTCACAGTAAGTGTTTAGGTAAAACCGGAACTGTGTGTAATCTTGTTTTGATGCGGTCTCTGGCCTCTTGTCTTTATGTCACGGAAAATATAATGCGCAATAAACTATTAATTGTACTGAGATCAAGTACATAAGCGTTGATACAACTAATTATGACTTGTACCAGAATAATACGACAATATCATGTGGTTTTCTTTCAAAAGTCGATTACTGAGAAGTTCGAAAATATAATCTAGGCAGTCTATTCGAGATCCTGACGCAGGGGATTTCAATAGATGGATTTTTATCAATTTTTTTTTTGCAGGTTATCAATACGCCCTCATGTCAATAAAGACTGCGTTGTCAACAATATTACGGAAATATAGGGTAATTATGGACACCGAAGAAAGCCCTTACCCATATATCAGGGTCAAAATAGATATTATGATGAAAGCAGTTGACGGATACGAACTGAGACTCGAAAGACGAGAAAGAGATCACCACATATGACGTTTCAAAAGCGCGGGAAAAGTGACATTAGCTTTTTATAGGTTCTTATTCCTGCCAGCCGTAAAAATATTTATTAACTTTTTTTGTATTGCGTTATAGTATATACAGCCAGGTTAATATGGATATCTACTATTAGAGATTAAATTAATTTTAATGTAAATATTTTGTGGTTTTATTTAATTTAATTATATAAGTAATTATCGTTGCAAAGGCCATTAGCATTTCATTTAAATTTCCTTTTTTAATGAGCCATAAATTAAGAAGTTTGTCTTTGACTAACGTGGACTTCGAAATGTCATACTGTCGTGTTTTATAAAAATAAACCTTCAGACGTCAGGAAACTAGATTTTATAGGACACGTGAGTCATTAAGGGTAAGTAAAGTAGTCTCATTTGATATAGTAAGCTATCATTTGAACAATTACTATGTTCGTTATGACCTTGCACTTTCTCAAAGACCGTGCATCCCTAGCATCTATTACGACTGCTATTTCGACGTCTAAATTATGTGGTTCATTATTTTTAAAGTAAGTAAGGGGTTTTTACACTGTGCTTTGAGACTGCTTTTACTTTTAAATCTTCAACTTTACAAGTTTTTTAAAAGTTTTGATATGTATTTGGAATAAATAGTATAGATTAGTACTTATGAGTTATTATATTTTTTCATAGATTTACTAACTGTTAACATCGTGGTATAAACTAAAGACGGAAGCTATCGAAGGGATTTTAGTCGTACGTAAAGACATGTATAATCTCTACTGTTAAGGATCAAGTGGGAAAGTAATTGAAAGCTGCGATCTACGATTAGTATGAAGAAAGAGCCAACTATTAATAATACCCCAATTCGATTGATAGACATTTTCAAACAGTGTGAGTCCCCAATATATTTACGAATGTAGCTTGTTAGTTGACTGCACATCCACACTATACCACAAGGAAACGTTTACAATTGGGCAGCGGAAATTCCAAGATAATTCGACGGTAACATTTTTAGATCGTAAGTAGTAAAGTAGTTATTGTAGCCAAAAAAGATTTGTTAAACTTTTTTTTGTACAATTATTATATCATTCCTATTAGAAGTATTCTCCTATGGATTGGCATAAGTAGAGGTGTATTTTTATAGTAGCCCTTTTTTATGAAATAAGCCGGTAAGCGAGCAGACGGATCACCTGATGGTAAGCAATGGGCGCCGCCCATGGACACCCGGAACATTAGGGGAGTTACAAGTGCGTTACCGGCCTTTTAGAGATTAGGAGTTTGAGCATTATTGGGGATTGAAGAGTTTGGGGATGGGGGCAGGGCCGCTGGTATCCTCACTCACACGACGAAATACAACGCAAGCGTTGTTTCACGTCGGATTTCTGTGGGGCCGAGGTATCGCTCCAGTGCCGAAGCATGGCTCTTCCACACTACAGTGAAACTGCTGAGGTCGCATTAAGTTAGTGACGACATATATAAGCAAGGTTACTGGAGGGTTAGATGAAGATCCAGCTTAGTAACATGCTACTACAGACCCTATGCTGTAGTGTATCCAGCACTGGATGGAAAAGGGGTGGTAATATTGGTGACGATAGGGGCGATCGTTTCCAAGAATAGCTTTTCCTACATTGTAAAATCGCCTTTATGTTACGTTACCCTTCGACAATTTTTTCTCGACCTTCGAACTTTGTAGACCGTTTATTTTAATGACAAAAATCTATTGCTCGTTCTGTAATTGCAGTGTACATGGAATTGTCAGCCATTAGACACGGTTGGCTAACGTAACTTATTTATCTATGACTTTTATGAAAAATCAACTATAAATCCTATGGCTGAGTTTCATGTTTATTCTTATCGTTTCTAAGTTTATGAGCTTCTTGATCTTGTCTTGAGCGGCTTCTAATGTTCTGATCCTTTAGGGTTATGTTAAGGTTAGGTAAGTAGAATGAATACTGTAGAGGTATTTTACCGTGTCCCCTATAACGTAATACGCCTTTTATTAGGGTTAAAAAGATTAGGTATAGGGGCCATATTGTAAGGTAACACTCCATTTTACCGGTTGTGTTATGAGATACAGATAGTAGAGTAGGTCTTATGCATATTAGGTATAATTAAAGACTCCTTGCTACGAGTACTACGAGTATTTTCGAAAAATTAAAAAAGTGTGTTAAAAATATTGTGAGTGAGTCATTTGAAATTCCTTTCCATTTCCGTTCATTTAGAAATCCAGACTAAAAACAAGTCTATCTAAATATTTAAACCAGACCAATAAATCGGTTTTATAGTATTTATTTGTCTCGATCACTATCTTTTACAAATGTTATGACTACAATCAGTTTATTTATTCTCATCGATTCATTTCAAATACTATATTTTATTAATATAATGTCGAGTCAAAGACCTTTTAGTAACCTTTTAATTACGATTTATTTCATTGATTAGATTAAATACCTAGATTGTATATCTATCTTGGTTTTCTGAATAAAACGTGACTTGCACTTACATTCAAGTTAAAATACATGTTTAGTTTAAGTGCTAGTAATAAAATACATTTATATAACCGATGGATTGTAATTTTTTTTCTTTCATATCGATTGCACATACACACAGAACCGAAACGAATCGACTTTATACGTCATAGCTAGGGTAGTGGAATGCCGCGGAGAACCTAACGGTTTACCGGGGCTCCGTCTCATAGTGCAGGAGTAGGAACGGGGTGGTTTTTAGTCAGTAAGAGTCTGACACTCCCTCCCGCCTCAACTAGGCGGGAGAAGTCATTCGATGACTTTCCTCCACTAAAAAAAAGGGTAGTGGAATATATCATACATCCGTCACCATCTCTAACCATGCTGTGTGTGGAATTATGGTTGTAGGTATGCTGTCTTTATTGATGATCCAATGAAAGTCTGAGCACTGCTATAAAATATATATTGTTCCACACACAAGGTCATACAGACATAAAATTAGATAGTTTCCAGGGTATCGAAATTAAAAATGTAATTAGTCCGTCGTCGGTTAGATAATGAAAAATATTAGACACGTATTTTTTATTTTCTCGGATTATGTTGCAATACTTAGATAAAATGGCGCTAAGTGTAGGAGTGGGAGGTTGATACGTCAAACGTGCTACTAAATGTGACATGCTGTGACGTCATACGATATTTCAAATTAAACTGTCAAACACCAAGCGGTCACCGGTGACCGCAACCTATTGTTCTATAATTGTGTCTACAAAACCGGTACTCGACGAGTAAATATATCGTCGAAAGTATTTAATTTTAGGAGGAAAGAAAAAATACGTGTCTAAAGTTTTTAATAAATGTACCAGACGGATATTAAAATAAAATTTAGGAAACTACCCTATATTAGATTATATAAATTATCGCAACTCTCACAATTATCTCTTACATATAATTTTGTCGACTGGACACAGTTGCTTGGGTTTAAGGAATAATGTAAATAAACACCTCACACATACAATCGTATACGTATTACATAGACGATTGCATACTAGTGTGTCCCTACACTGTGGGTGTTGTTAAAGCCGACTATGGGATTACATATTTCTCAGAGACAGGGCAGCGGCGCTTTTCTGATAACCTGAACCGGCGCTTACATCAATCGCATCCCATATATATAACATATTAAATAAAGAAATTAACATATATTCTATGAATTCACATAAATGTAAAAAAGCATTACTTCAATGGCTGACCAATAAGAATTACGATGAAGTTGAATCCGTCCTGTGTACGTTCACATAGATAAAAAGAAACTAAACAACACTACACATACATTCACAGATACACGAGCACAACACTAATACACAGATTAAACATTCATAACATAACATAACAACACACATTCCTTCATACATTACATACACTCAGTGTGCGAACTAATGTATTCTAATTTCACATTACTTATTCCCTTTAATTTTCAGTTTATAATTTGTTTAATTCTAAATTTCTTTCTTTTTATTTATTTTTATAAACTTATGTTTAGCTGATGTCTTTGGTATAGTAGGATCGCCTACCACAAGCATTTTCTTGCTTAACAGGGTTTTTCCTAATATTTTGTTGATATGTACATAATAGTTGATGAAATAAATTATTATTATTATTATTATAAATCGTATACGTATTACATAGACGATTGCATACTAGTGTGTCCCTACACTGTGGGTGTTGTTAAAGCCGACTATGGGATTACATATTTCTCAGAGACAGGGCAGCGGCGCTTTTCTGATAACCTGAACCTGTCTACCAAATGTGGAGTTTATGGCAAGCCTTCTTATGTGAAGCGTAGAGGTGGTCCATACTTCAGTCACAGATAATGACGTAGATACTGGTCCTCAACCACAATGTTATCGGAGGTCAGAAGTCAGAACCAAGCTTGTTTGAGGTAGGTCAATGTAGAAAACATTTCGAGCTTCGCTACCTTAGAACACGTCAAGCCGTCTGGCTTGATTCCGGTTGCCATAACATGACAGTATGTATGTGCGTGAGTAGGTAAATTATGAGTACCTACTTGGGTTGTGACACTATCAGAAGTACCAAGATAAAATTTTAGTACTGTAAGAAATATAACCTACTATAATTTTGTAAATAATGCTATCATAGAAGAAATATTACCATACAAAATCAAATTAACTAGGTTCTTCCGCAGCCTACTGACTGACACGTGAGTGTAAGCTGCGCGATATTAGCGCGACCGCGCACGCTGCTCATGAGGAAGAACCTCTCTGTGGTTCGAAACTAGTAGAGCTTTTCTCAGTCACGACGTGAGTAACTCGCGATTTTTAGTTCATTTAGTATTATGTATATTAGTATGTAATTAGATGTAAGCAAGACGTAATAAGGGCAGGATATACTACAAATTTCTGTTCCGTTTTTATGTTGGGTAAGGTTCCAAAAGGTATCAGCATTGTACTGTACATGACGACAGTGTTACAGGAAGCCAGTGTGTCACCATGACTTGCTACAGTCTTCGCTTAATCACTTCCGTATGTTAGATACTGATTTAATTAAAAAAAAATTACAGGACGATGCCTTTCGATAACTTCAAATCAATAGACGCTAGATGTAGTTTTGAACATCGCTAGTCAGATGGACGAACGACCTTAAATTAATTGGTAATAGTGATGTGTTATAAAACAGACTTATGTTTATGTA